AATTATTTTTTATTGTTATTCTGTATTCTATAAATTAGATTGTTATTAGTCAATATATCGTGTTCAATATAGATAAAGACCATATACAACAAAATGAATAGCTCCTTTACATTTCGAAGGAGAAAATGTATAGGTGTTTTATTTTTATATCGTTGAATTATGAGTTAGATTTATTATATATAGGTTATTATATGAATACCTATATTTGAATCATAAAAACAATAAACACTCAATAATACAATATTAACAAGAAAATATTTTTTAGAATATTATAAAAAAGTTTTACTTTTTTTACTACCAGCTTAACTCGTAATAAGCATTCAGTAAAATAGCAAGGAAATAAATTAATTTGCCTAAACCTTTAGTAAAATTTTCGATTTAACTTTATGCCTACGTATAATTTAACCTTTTCAAAATTTTAATGAGGTTCTATATAATTACCCTATTTACTACATCTATATACTACCCGAATGAAAACACCAGTCGATACTACAGCTGCAAAGTAGGATTGATGTTCCGAATAGCGTGTGTGTCTTTAATTTTTTTTACGTAACCAACGATTATTCCTGGAACAGAGGTCTTAAAAAAAAAAAAAAAACCAATACAGCAACGAGGGCAATATCGCCCCAGCCGTAGACACCGCCGACACGATAGTGATTGATAATACTCGGGCGTTTTCAATTTGGACAAAAATAATCCGAAGTTGACCGATCGCAAGTGAATAAAAGAAACATCACGCGGCGTAACAATAAAATAGAAGCCAAATTATTCTTTGCTCCGATGTGTGGCGTAATTCTCTGGTTTTCAATAAAGTGTGTATATAAAATAACATATGGGTTTTCCTCTATTGAATGTGCATCATAGTCACCAAACATTGCCCCTTATTCAACTGTAATACACACACCACCCTGCTTTGTCTCCTTTTCTTCTGTTTTCCTTTTTACAACACTACAACAGCTCACCACCTCTTTATTTTTTTCCTTCTATCCATTTCTTTTTTGCCCCCCTTTTATTTTTTTTTTTCCATCCTGCATGGAAAGGGGGGGGGGAGAAATCGGAAATGCGCTGCAGAAACCATATTTGTTAACGGCAATAATTGTTGTTTTATTTGCGGCAAACAGTGGCAATCTGTAGGTGCGGAACCGCTTTGACATGTGCGCGCACCCGTCAGATTCGCTTGCAACGGACAGTGAAGCCTGCATGAGCGCGAGAAAAGGAAACGAACAACCTCACAATTATTACGGTTGATCAGTTCTAATAGCTATTAATCTCAACGGTAGGCGTGCGTGAGTGCGTCCACGTAATGTTCGATTTATCGTTCACATACACACGCGCGTTTATTGTACAAAAATGCTCGTGTGAATACATAATAAATATATATCGTTTACTTTACATCTCGGTGAGTTTTTGGATATTTCACACTGTGACAGCCTGTGAACTGCTGTTTAAGCAATGACGACGAGCTGTGCCAGAACGCGAACAATCGCGTTCACCGATAACATAACAGAAAGGTAAAATTAATTTTCCTACCTTCAGGCATCCATCTCGCATTATAATCTGATCACAAGTTAACCAAGCATTTTTTTATCGTGTCCACTAAGCAGCTATAATTTTCCACGTCATTCACACTGACACCCATGTCATACCGTATTATATGATAAAAGTAAGTACATTTTTATTTTTTAACATCGTTTTATGACATAAACAATTTACAAAAAATTTTTCCTTCAATTAAGATATCTCCAAATGATTAATCATTTGATGATGAAATTTCAATTCGTCATAGCTATAATATTATCATGGAGCGATAATTGTAAATTGAAAATTATTAAAATTTTATTAAAAATGTATTGTGCAATAAAATAATAATTTATATATATATGAATCTGCTAACTTCACAAATTGCATTCTCTCCATATAATTTGAATTATTGTATTGTTTCAATTTTATAATATACGTTCCAGTAAAGAAAATTTTAGAAGATTGTTAGATTGCATTTCCACATATTTTATTCGTGTTCTACATCATGATCGACTGCTGTTCTCGCTATCATATTTAAGTGTTTAATGGGAGGAATAAATTAATTACCCATTATATAATCAATGATATAAATGAAAAAGATAAAATAGTTAAAAAAAAGTAAAATTCAAAACCTAAAATCATCTTGGTCACGCAATTGTTAAACACGTAAAGTTTAACTCGCATATAATATTAGAAACTTCACTTCATTTGAATATGATTCATGCACACACTCAAAAATAAATAGAACTAGTATATTGAATGGAAAATACAACCCACCCATCAAGTCACTTCCAAAACCAAACCCACAGGGAATTCCTCCCACATTTCATTAAATATAATTTTAAAACCATGTTAATAATTATAACTATAATTTTAATAATATATTAAATAAAATTTTCAATTTTTTTAAGTTTATCTTCAACATAATATTAAATTATTGAATATTGATTTAAATAAAATATAGATTCTAGGCTAGTTATTAAATCGTACTATAAATCCGGGTAAGAACTTTTATACTTTTCATTTTATAAGTGATTTAATACTTGATTTTTAGTAAAAGTATTGAGTGTATAAATCACCACGTACTATCTAAATTCAGGTGACAACGATGAACGTTACATTATATTTAGTTGCATATGTTAAAAAACACCTTCATTTATATAAGGTTTTATTTACTATTTTATATTTTTTTGTTGTTTATTTATTTATCTATTTTTTATATATTTTTTCAATTCATCCAAACAACCAGGCCTAGGAGGAAAAAATGTTAAAAAAAAAAAGTCATAAATAACTAACCTTGCTACAAAGATACAGATTTATTAATTTATATCATCTGGTTGTTTTATTTATATAAAAATATTTGTAAAATAATAAAATTATTAATTCATAACTTGTATGTATTTTTTAGAATAATTTTTACCCACTCCGACCATAAAAAACTTGTAAATACATCACTGAAGACCATAATACCATTATAAGGTATTCTAGTAGAGTGCCAATATCTTATAAATCATAAAACTTTGTTTATCCACTTGTTGCTTGAAAAAAATATATTTAATACAGTATTAATATAGAGCACAATCAAATTCATCAACTTACAATACTGATTACAATCAATGTGGTGTTTCTCGAACTATTTTAATTTCATACATTTGCCACTTTACTGTTTAGTCTTAATTTTACAATATGTATTGACAATATTTTATATCGTCAAAACATAACACAAAAACTGAGCACATTAAGAATGACTGATGAGGGTATTTGAAAATTGTTTAAAGGCTAATAGTACTCAATTGCCGACAGTAATGCTGAATGAAGGATGACTACTTGCCTGATCAAGTTAAATATATTTTTTGTCTATCGCTAATTAAAATAATCACCGGTCGGTTAAAAATTCAATGAGCCTGTAATTAAATATTAATTAAATATTTAGTAAAAAAAATTACTATAAAACAGATATTATGATAATCGACTTAATATAATAGATACACGATAGAAAAATTTGATTTAATTTATATTTAATTAAACGATTATCACATTTTAAATTTATAATATTTATCAAGACATTTCGATTATCGAAAATAGTCTTCCCAAGTCTAAGTATGATGACAGTCTTTAATAAAGATCAAACGGATCTTTTGAGGTGGGATTTATGACAATAAGAGGAATAGAGCGCTTTAGACGATGACCGCAGATATAAATATAAAAACTACAACCATTTATTTCATCAATTCAATGTATTTCATAAACATTACTGACATATTCATTGTTTAATATCTGAAAATTCAAAAATATGAAAAGTAAAAAAGTTAGTAAACTGAAGAAGTAATATATTTTTTTATCGTTAAGTAGAAAAATTAGGAAAAAAAGTAGGAAAGTAGAAAATCAATATTAATTTCGAAATCCGATTGGGTGTACGATATTTTTTGTCAGTCCATCATTAATCACGACAAATATATTGATTTCTCCACGTGAGATCTTGCGTATTATTGTATTAATGTCCGTATGAAAAACATGGTATATTAAATTCTAAGACGCAAACAGACATCGTTTGGCCTTATTACTTATTGTTTGTCATAGCGAATGCCAATCTAATAAGAAATTGAACAGGTTCAAACACAAAATTTGAAATTCAATATGAAATTTCAAATTTAAATTCAATTGCCACGTCTGAAGAAATTATTGGAATGCGTAGCATCAAAATATTGTGTCTGAATTATTTTGAATATTCAAAGGCAGTCTACATTTTGAATGAACTGTTCTACCTCCATCAAATAAAATTGCTGCAATACTAAATTATATAACGCCAATACGATGTCATTACTCGATCGTATTTCAATGAGAAATGAGAATAATTTTTCTAGTTCCTCCTAATGCATCAGAAAAAAAAAAAAGAAAAGGAAACCTCCTTGTCCCGTCGAAACTTCCAGCATAATGCGGTCGTAAATAGTTTTTTGTTTATGAATCAATAGTAGGACATTGCATCTAATTAACATTGCATCTTTATACGTTAGTTTTGTTAGATATATTTACATTGTTTATATCTTGAAATTACAATGGACTGGTTACATAATTTACATATTACAAACAACAATCGCAGAAAGGATCACTTAGTCTGCCTTAGATTGACTGTATATTAGGGGTGGTTACTAGTTGCGTCCCGAGGTAAAAATTTCTTTCGAATTGCGGCCCGAAATTTAAAATTAAATTCATTAATGTAAATTTAAATTTAAAAAGCTTAATTTTTCTTCACATTTATTAGGTACTGTAGGTAAGTTAAAAATTATGATTTTTATTTAAACATTTTGGCACTGGTAAAAACATATATGATATGTTTTAAGGTTAAAAAGTTTTTTTTGACATTAAAATCTGATATTAAAATGTTTTGTTTTTATTAAAAAATTTCAGCACTGGTAAAAATGTATATGATATTTATTGAAGTTAAAAATGTTAGTATAATTTAGTAAAATTCTTAGGTATTATGGCACTGGTAAAGACTTGTTTACGATTTTACTTGGAAATCTGAATTCTTTGAGTATATTTACTAGGCTTTCCCTATGAATAGAATCATAAGCTTTTTTAAAATCCACAAACAATATGTGTACATCCTTGTTATATTTCCAGCTTTTTTGGAGGATCTGTCTTATAACGAAAATCTGATCTGTTGTAGATCTATTGGGCCTAAATCCTCCCTGGTAGTCACCTAGTAAATTATCTGCTATAGGTCTTACTCTATCCAGTATACAATATGCTAAAACTTTGCACGTTGTATCTAGTAATGCTATACCCCAACACACATTACACAAGAATGTAGCGTCACTACACTCTTGTGGATCATTTTTTTTATGAATAGGACAGATTAATGAGGTGCCCCTGTCCTTAGGAAGTCTTTCTTTATGCCAAACGCTCTCTATAATACTTTGTATTTTATTTATCGTTAATTCATCTAAGTTTTTTAGCACTTCTCCTTGGATTCCGTCCTCCCCAGGAGTCTTATAATTTTTAGCCTATTAAGTTGTTGTAATATTTCATCTTTGCTTGGAGGCGGACATTCAGTGTCATTAGGTTCCGTTGGCATCCATGCAAATGTCTCCACTGGGTTTTCACAGTTAAGTAATCGTTCAAAATAGTGTTTCCATTTTTCAAGTATTTTATCCTGTTCTGTTACTAGAGAACCATCGTCATTTTTTAGGAACTTATTATGTTTTTTGTATTTTCCTCTAATTGAATTTATCTTCTGGTATAGTTGTCTAGTCTTATTTCCTCTATGATCAATATTTCCGTTATTTATATCTAAATATATTACTTGTTTCTTTTTGGCGTTCTTTGTATACCATAGCTTTCTCTCTATTAGTGGGATCGTTGACCAATTGAGTCCTGGCTTCTTTTCTTCTATTAAATGCTTCCTTACAGGAGTTGTTGAACCACGGTTTCCTTGTTCTCTTTTGTTTTCCTATTACCGTGTCTGTAACCGTTTGTATAGTATCCTTTAACATTTTCCATTTGATATCAATTGTCTCTTCTTGATTTATATTTAAGCTTAAGCTGTTTATTGTATCATGTAATTGTTGCTTGAAAAATTCACATATATCGGTGTTCTTTAACTTATTCACATCAAATCTATCCACTAATGTTCCTTTACTATGTATTAGTTTCTTGAGTTTAACTTTCAGCTTTCCTTTAACTAGGTAATGGTCTGAATCACAGTCAGCACCTCTTACACTTTTAACATCATGTATACAATTTTTGAACCTAGTATTTATCAGAACATGGTCTATCTGACTGACATATCTACCATTTGGTGCCTTTCATGTACCCTTATAAATATCTTTATGCGGAAACATCGTGCTCTTTACAATAAGCCCTCCACCACTTGCAAAATCTATAAGCCTAAATCCATTCTCACTAGTTACATCGTGAAGGCTATGGATACCAACCGTTGACCGAAATATGTTCTCCTTTCCTAGCTTGGCATTGAAGTCCTCTAAAACTATTGTAGCGGCCTAACAAATAAAATTGCAATAAATTTATTATTGTTCACCGGCCGAACATCAATTACGCAACGTCGACGTGCACGACAACGATAAGCACTTTATCTCAGTCCTCCTTCCAAATGCATTTATGATTTGCTATTATGATAATTAATTTAATAATAATTTGCGGGCGGACGGGTCGTTGTGGTGGTTCGGCGGCGACATCGACGAGAGCAAAAATTTTGTCGTCGTATTATTTTTGATGTAATATTTTTTCATGGGCACGCATAAAGCACTCACTTTTAATATTTTTAATTATTATTAAATGCTGTATATTATGTTAATGTGAATTTTTTTTTTTATATTATTATTATTGTTGTTTGTGTGTGTGAGTTGTTTCATTATATAGGTTTTGGTTGCAGCTGGCCAGGTGTACACCGCATTCTGTTCAAACTGTGAGTTTTATTATAATCAATTTTTGTTTGTATTATTATATCTATTAGTAATTTATCAAATTTATTTTGTGACCAACTGGCACATATTTATATTCAGTTACCACACATTTACATTTATTACATCATTCATATTTATACTTAGTCACCACACATTTACATTTATTATATCATTCAAATTTATATTTAGTTACCGTACATATTTTTACTTTATTATATTATTTATTCTCACAGATTATTATAATCTATTAAAAAAACCGCATCCACACATTATTATTATTATTATTATTATTATTATTATCATATCAAAAAATTAGGTTTGTTGTCATTTACTTGATCTCCATTTCCTCATTCTCATACCCTAATTAATTCCAGACAAGCGCAGGCGATCCCTCCCTTGTCTGGGGCAATTAATATAGGTACTTTCCAATTTCCGGTCATTTATAATATACAGTCCACTCAACTATTTTAGGTGCCGAGGTAAGCGGCATATTGCTTTCCGCACTCGCACGTACAACTATTCTAATTCTATTTCGTGGAATTTCGTTTAGTGTGTGCTCCAGGTTACCATAGAACTCGTCCTTCTCCTCTTGCGGTTTTTCTTCCGTGGGTGCATGCCCATTCACGAATGAGATGTTGAAATATTGTGCTTCTATTGTTAACACTGATATTCTTGGATTAATGCTTTTGAATTCTCTTACTGGAGGTACTAAGTTTTATGTATTACGAAGCCCGTTCCAAATTGACGATGTTTATTACATTCGCCGTAGAAAATCATTGTATCCTGAATCTCTATCGTCCCTTTACCATCCCACCTTATTTCTTGTAGGCCTACCACTCCTAGTTTATATCTTTCTATCTCCTCAACTAAGCATTGTACTGCTCCAGGTTTAAAAAGTGTGCGAATGTTCCATGTTCCAAAAGATAATCCATTTTTTCCATTTTCCATTTTTATTTTCCAAAGCTCCACGGTTCCGAGGCAAGTTTGTTGTTAGTTCCTGAACAATATTTTTTTTTCTAAGGCAGGATTGTTAGCTCTGCGCTTAACCCCCAACCTAGAGGACCAGTTTACTCCAACCAATTAAGATCAGAGTAGGGCTATTGCAGTGTACTTACTAAGCACCAATTCTTTACCCACCAAATATACAAAAAAAAATTCATTCAAATCGGTTGAGCCATTTTGAAGGAGTGCGACTATACACACCATGACACAATAATTTTATATACTAGAGACTATAGATGGGCAAAAACATCGATTTGTTAAAACATCGTTGTTTTGGGTCGATATATCGATGTTTCAACATCGATGATTTGTTTTCGATTAATCGATTAAAAATCGATGTTTATGTTCGAAAAGTTAGAATTTTTTTTTTGTTAGTATTATTTTAGTATGCAGTATATAAAAATTGTTATACAATATACACTATACAGTTATAATCAAGGCTCATAAGTCCATGCACTAAAAAAAGCATAAATAAGTATGCAATAATGTACTAAAATTTAATCAAATATGCATTAAAAAAAACGTTTAAGGATTTTTTTAAAATAATAAGAATTATCAATTTATATTTTTTCTTCGGTTTCATTTTATTAAAATTATAATTAATGAACACACGTTGCGACGAAATTGGAATGGACACGTCATTAAGAGGAGAGTGGTAGTGGTGCGCAATAACATTGTTTTTGTAGTACTATTTTTAACTTATAAAATTTAATGTCGTAAAAAAAATAAAAATATTGATAAAATACTAAGATTTTATAAAAAATTCGGAAAAGTAAATAAGAATAAATTCAAACATTTATTGATCTAATTTTTTTTTTGACTTCCACAAAAAACGATTTCGCTGAATTTACATAAAATAATATACTCTAATAATTAAAAAAAAAAATCAACTATATGCCAAATATGCCATAAAACATGCAAAAACATGCTCTATTAAGCTTTAGATTCTTATTACCATTGTTAAGAAACGGATTTTTATCTCAATCATCATATTTTTCGATGTAGCAAAAAAAAAAACATGCAAATGCATGAACTTACGAGACCTGAATTTAAGTATTTAATATGTTTTTAAAAAATAGAAATTAAACAATAGTATTTTAACTCTTAAATATATTATTTAATATTATTATAGGAAATATATAAAACTATATAAATATAACTATATAAAAATATAGGAAGGATAAACAAAATAAAACAAATGGACTAGAAAATGTTAATAGGACATGTTCTTCTAACAAAACAAAACAAAACTGTTAGAGTCGAATATCAAGTTCCTCTAGCCATTTGATCGCCATTGGTCCACAAACGTGCAGTATGGCTACCCCTCCTTCAAATCTTGTTCTTTGGCATTCCTCAACGATATGGCTTGTGGTTTGTGTTAGGCTGCACTCGCATAACGGGGAATAAGTCATGCCCCATTTGTGTAATAGATAGTTACACCTACCTTGCCCAGTTCTTAAACGGTTCAGGGCCGTCCATTGTGTTTGATTTAGCTCGAAGCCTAGGACTCTGTTATCAGGGACGCTAATTAGGGAATGGTTTCGGGCGTTAGAAGTTGACCACCTGTTTGCCCACGTCTCCTCTATTGATTTGTTTGACTGTGACATGCTCCACATAGGGTTTCTGAATATAAGTCTCTCAGGTGGATGGTTTACTATGTCTATTTGTACTGGTAAGTCTGGGTAGTTGCTCAGTTTCGATAACATTAACTCAGTCTGGACTTGTCTCCGTAGGTCTAGAGGGGCTATATTGGACAGGACCGGCAGTCAATCTAGTTGAGTAAATCTCACGGTACCTGTTATTATTCTCATAGTTTTATTCAACTGTACGTCAACCTTCTTGCAGTGCGCACTTCTGGCCCATACAGGCACGCAGTATTCTGCCACACTATACACTAGAGCAGAGGCGGCCAAACTTTTTTCGGCCACAATCTACTAAAAATATACTTCACCTTTGAAGATCGACTTTCTTGGAAAAATATTTTTATTATTAAATAATTATAATTATTAAGAAACATACTTGCTTAAAATATATATAAACATACATAAAGTATTATAAACTAATTATTAATTACTAAAAATAATATAATAATTTCTAAAATCTAAATACTTAAATCTAATTAACATTTTAATATTTATTTTGTTGATCTGGACACTGTCGAATTGCACGTGGCCTAAAAATAAATTCTAACATGATCGGCTCTGTAATCGTCCGTGATCGACTGGTCGATCGCGATCGACCGTTTGGCCGCCCCTGCACTAGAGCTAAAGCTGAAGTACGGAGCACAATTGGACGACAACCCTAAATTGTGCCTAATAGCTTGGCAATAATGTTGTTACGTGTTTTTATTTTCTCTTTTACACTTTCGAGATGCTGTTTGAAGGTTAGGGTTCTGTCTAACCTTACCCCTAGGTATTTAGGTGCTCCTTCAGTGGTGATTTTTTGGTCATCGGCTACAATACTTAGTGTTCTATTGGCTTATTACTGATGCATGGAAAATGCATATTACTGATTTGTTTGGGTTCAGTTTGAGGTGCCATTTCTGGAAGACATTTTTTAATCTTGCAACGTCTGCATTCAGTACACTTTCGATTTATTCAAATGATGTGGCTTGTGTAACTAGTGCTACGTCATTCGCATATATGAATTTCCTCGAAACTTTGTCAGTCATATCTGCTGTGTATATGTTAAAAAGCATTGGGGAAAGAACAGCTCCTTGTGGAAGGCCATAATGCCAAATTTTGTATCGGCTCGTTTTCCCTCCATGAGTTACACTGAATTTTCGATTTGATATCATTTTCTCTAGAAGTAATAGGGTGGCTTTACATCTTACGATCTTTGCCATTTTAAGAAGGAGACCTCTAGTCCAGACTGTATCGTAAGCCGATGATAAGTCAAGAAAAAACTGCACCCGATTTTGCTTTTTGTTGGAAACCGTTTTCCACGTGTGTCGTAAGCGCCAAAACTTGATCGCAATAGTTTATATTTTGTCTGAATCCGGCTTGTTTAAATGGTAGGGACTTCTCTACTATTGGTTGCAGGCGAGCTAGGAGTAGTCTTTCGAAATTCTGGTCTAAGAATTATATACTCGCGGCGTTGTGGCTGTAACAAAGTCCGCGACGAGTAATAATTTATTAATAAAGGAAATGCCCAGTATAACACTGTCTATTAGGTACCTAATCAATTAATTAATTAATTATTAGGTACCTATTAACTACCTGTATACTACTGAATAATGCTAAATGCTCAACCCGTATTTATACAAGTTCTAATGACGTCAAAGTGGTATAATTCTATTATTACTTTATTTTACTGTCGATTTAGCATTATTATGTTAAGAGGTGAAAACTACTTGTTGTTTTCACCTTTGCTCTGGATTTCCAGCAAATAGGTATATTTATTTAAAACTACTTGTTATTTTCACCCATGCCCTGGATTTCCTGCACGTAGGCATATTTATTAATATTTATACTAAATTATATTGATTATTAAATTATGCTTAGCCTTGGGCTTACTACAAAGATCCAAAAATATGACTGATTGTCTATTTAAAATGATACGTTCTGAAATTACAAAGAATAGTTTTGGCACATTAGATAACAATGATCTTAAATTAATTCATAATAGAATGTACTTTTGTAGAAATATGCAAAAAAATATTCTAAAAAATATTCTAAAAAATATTGTTGAAGTTTAAGAATATTTAAGAAATCTAAAGGCAAATCAATGTTTGCAATTAATGATATAAAAAAAATATTGTAATTTCTATAGGTACTACAAATTTATAATTTTTGAGTTTAGTTAACACTATAATACTAGAATTTACCTAGTACTAGAAATGTTAATCTTCTTGTGACGTTGCCAAGTTTATGTATTGTAGGCGCGAAAAAGTATTATTACATTTTATTAAGTGCAAACAAGATTTTTCTATAAATGCGCAAATACGGTATTTTGGCGCAAACACGGACCCTCTAATTTTCATCGAAATTAGTAAAACCAACATAACTGACATAAAAGTTGAAACTTGGCATTTGGACTTTTTCGATATCCAATATTTACTTATTTGTGACAATTTATACTTACACCTAGAAGAATTAATACAATTTGGCATACTAATTCCATGTCTTTTACTGGAATCTCTACTTTTCATTGAAAAATATTCAAACTTACGCCATTTAGTTGAAGTATTTTTTTTAATTTAATTTAGACATTACATTTATAGTTCATAGTTAATTAACAATATATTATTTTTATGCATTGGGTCGAACCATAAAATATAAATGAATAATCAAGTTATAAAAATATCAAGCATGTGTAAGCTCGTCATATTTTCAAAATAGAATACAATTTTATGTAATTGACGCAATTATTAAGGGCACTAGGATAATTTATATAAAAAAAAAAAAAAACTGTATTACGAAAAAGAGTATTTCTAGTCTCTATAATTATATGTAAATCATTTAGCACTGCAAAAGAAAAATATATAAAACACAAAACAACAATTTGCATTATAATTTATATACATTTATTATGGTAGTGTTCTCATATCAGAATATTTTACTGTTATCGGAATAGCGTCTGTTAGCTTTTTTGAAAATCATATAGTAATTAAGTGTGTGAACAATTAAACTGGCATTGTTTGAATTTATACTAATCGATATCTGATTACCAGGAAACACTGAAGGTTCTTTCCAAACTTTATCATTATTCAAAAGGCAAATTGTTGCTTAAAATAAATGTAAGATCAAATATCGATTTTTCTAAGAAAGTTCAGATGCAGATTTATTTCACTTTATTTCATAAAGAACAAATAACCCTTATTATAATCTTATATGTTAAAGAGGTGAAATTAATATATGTTTGTGTTTAAAAAGTTTCAAACACAATCGAAAACCTGAAAATTTATTTCTAAGTATTATATAGTATATAGGTAAAAATATTTTTTT